AATATTTGGGATTCGGCTAGTTCAAATTCCCACTTTGGATGATGAGTAGAATTGGTTTATAGATATAACCATGGTTCCAAATTTCGAGCGTCGACATGTTGACGTGTCGAGTTGCTCGATATCGACATGTGTGGGAAAAGTCGTTTTTCCCCCAATGTCGTCGACATGTCGACTTAAAAGGCGTTTTTTTTTAATTTAGTTTATTTTATTTTCATCATCTTCCTACTAAAATCTATAATTTCTCACAACCCGATGATTGTTATCTTAGTCTGTTCCATGCAACATTCTCACTTTCATATAAATATTTAGTAATAAGTATAACTAACTAGATCATTACGAATATAAGATTAAGAATTTACTTTCTGTTCTATTAAAAGTAGTTGACTACTTTTTTTTTTTTTGGGCAAAAGGTAGTTGACTACTTCTTTAGTGCTTTCACAATAGGAATTCATTTGTAAATTGGATAATTATCGACTTAGTTTTTAAACACATTTCTAAATTCTAATTAACTCATACCTATATTTCTTTTCAAATTTGAATTTACACATTTTTTCAAACACATTTAAAATTTATACAATTGTTTCAATCTTTATATATATCAGTATTTCACATCTATTGTTCAATTGTGTAACTAAAGTCTAAATTGTATTATAAATTATCAATAAAACATAATCAAGTAACAATGAACTTTAATTTAATAATTCAAATAATTTTCATATATGTATACAGGATTTTGTTCCAACATTTTCATCGCAATGACATTTCCCTAAGTAATTTACTTATGAAACTAATAGGCAAATAATTTAGATATGATGGTAAAAAAGAAACGAGTATAGGCAAATTAAGCTACAATTAGAGTTTACTTTACTTATTCAAACAATTTCCATCAATCTTCATTAATATATATATATATTTTAGATATTTCCATTGACGTCGGCATTTTTATAAGTAAAATGGTCATATTCTTACATTTAATGGTTAAAGGTGATCAATTATAGACTAATTAAGCTATAATTCAAATTTTATTTACTAGTTTAAAAAATTTCCATCAATTTCCATGATTTTTCCTAAAATATCCGTCGACATCGACATGTCTGTAAAATCGAGATATCGACATTTCCATCAACATCGACATTTCAAACACTTATCCTAATAATCATGGTTATAAGAACCGTCATCTAAATAATCATTTATGATAATGGTTATTTATGATGTCAGTTCTAAACTAACATTGTTTTTACAAAAACCTAAAAAAAAAAAGAAAAAAAAAAGAGAAAATTAAAAAAAAACGGGCACTTGCAATAATGGCAAAAAAAGTTAAGTAAAATAATACATTTAGCATCCACATTTAGTTTTTACAAATATGACAATTTTTTTTTAAATGGAGGTTCAAATTGTAAAAGGTCAAATTTACCAAGCTCAAAACATTAATAAGCATTGATGTATGTTTCATATATACTTATTGTACCTCTAATTTACGGCTAATATACAACTGATATACAACTAATATAACTATGATATCTACTCATATAACTTCTTATATGATTATATGATTTACCATTTATTGATTTACTACTGATATATCATTAATATATATCTGATATGCTTAATATACCTTTGATATACCACTAATGTATCACTGATATACAATTGATTTACTTATGATATAATTATGATATCTACTAATATAACTTCTGTTATGATTGATTGATTTTACCATTGATTTACCATTGATATAGCACTGATATATATGTCTGTTATATACTTGATATATCTCTAATATAACTATGATATCTACTAATATAACTACATAAACTGATATAAATATGGTATATGTGTGTTGATATATACTTCTGATATGATTATATGATGTATCAATCATTTATCAATGATTTACCATTGATATACCAATGATTTCAAATATATTACCTCTTATATGTTTTTTGATATACTGATATACTACTAATATATCCACTAGTTTTTTGAATGATATGACAATGAACTTTTTTATATGTAAAACATTTTGAATTTAATCATATGTTTGCCAATTTGTTGATATCATAGTTTACTATTGATTTACCACTGATATAACTATGATATCTACAGACAAAGAATGAATTCGTTGCAGAGGTTTGAAACTTGAAAATGAATTCCCTTAAACAATAAGAAAACATTGGTTTCAGGTAAATCAAAGGTACATCAATACTTGATATTCATCACTGTCCACAAGTTAAACGACAAATAAACCAAAGCAAAATAGGAATCATATAGAAATAAACTTCAAGAACCAATATACCAAGAGACTAAAAGGATAAGAAAAAAAATAAAAATTGGATAAATTCAAAAGTGGGTTCAATTGAAAAAATTGACCCACGATTTTTAAATCTATATTCAATTTTTCCATTTTTCTTGTTTTCTCCGATGAGCCAGAAGAAGAAGATGATTTATAGCGAAGTCAGAAGTTTTTAGTTTGAGCCACAAGTTTCAGATTCAACTTGAACGATGAATCGTGCAGCCCAAAATTTTAAGTTTCAGAATTTGTAGTGATTCGGCTTGAAGAAATAAAATTGTAGAAGATAGAAATTTTAGATTGAAAGTTTCAGATTCGAAAAAGAATGAAGAAAGGGGAGAAAACACGCAAAATTTGAAACAAAATAGAGAAGGGTAAATTTGGAATTAAAAAAATGAAACATAGTATTTAAAATAATTTTGTCATATTTGCAAAAAGTCAAAACATGTTGCTATATTTGTAAGAGATTAGTTGAGCATAAAATTTTTCATCGTGGGGATGAGGATCGAACTCACACACTCTTGTTGGAAATATAGGCCAATTATAATTAATTTGACTACATTTTGTTCCGGGGAGATAGCTAGATTTAAACAAATGGAGAGCTCATGTCATATTTCCTCGAAGGTCATGCTTACAAGTATTAACTTATTAAAAAAGGCGAAATGTTTTTTAATTTTCATATTTTTTCAAGAAGTAACTATCAACAATAAAATAATAATAATAAAAAGGCTTAGCTTATGACACCGTAGGGAAGCGCGGAGGTCCAATATAGGCTCACCCTCCCATCCCCCAACTGTTCAAAAATCAGACAGAGAGAGAGAGACGGCGACAGTACGTATGAGTATGACATGGCTCGCCTCCACCTCTCAGAAAGCCTTTTTTTTGGGGATTTGGTAACGTCGAGTCAGTTCCCCGTCTCTCTCTCTCTAGACTCTAGACTCTAGAGAGAGAAACTCAGCACCAAAAGTTCCCCCAGAAGCAGTAGAGTTAGACTAGTGTTTTTCCTCAAACCAAGACAAAAACAAAACAGCAACCTGATTTGTAACCGAAGCAGAAGAGAGAGAGAAGATAATAATCACACACACAGTCTGTTACATTACACAGAGAAAAAGAAAAAGAGAAAAAAAAAACGTGTACTGCTAATTATGATTGCTTGCATAACCGTCCTGTTTGGTTAGCTTTTCTCTCCTGGGCCGTGTCCTGTGATCGGTAAATGGGGTAGCACCATTCTTTACACTCTTCTCCATCCTTTTCTTCTTCTTCTCTCTTCTTTCCTTCAATGACGCATCCCAAAGGTGAGAAATTATGATGTTAATAATGGGTTTTGTTTTGAAATTTGAAGTTTGGAATTTGAACCAGTTTTGTTTTGGTTTTGTGTAGGTTTGGAGGGGGAGAATCTGTATCAGGAGCTGTGGAAGGCATGCGCCGGCCCGCTGGTGGAAGTTCCTGTCAATGGAGAACGGGTTTTCTACTTCCCTCAGGGTCATATGGAACAAGTACCCACTTCGATTTCATCTTTTTTTACCCAAAAATTAAAAAAATAAATTATGGGGTTTAAATTTCTACTGGTTTTTGGTTCATCAGTTGGAGGAATCGACGAATCAGGAGCTGAATCATCAAATCCCCCATTTTGATCTCCCTCCCAAGATCCTCTGTCGCGTTGTCAACACTCGTTTGCTGGTATTTTTTTGTTTTGTTTTGTTTTGGGAAAATTATTGTTTCTCCTACCTACCGAACCCTGTGCTTTGAATTTTCAGGCAGAGAAAGAAACAGACGAGGTTTACGCGCAGATTACTTTATACCCGGAAGCTGATGTAAGCACAATTAGCTTATGATTATGAAGATGAACTGTAAATTAATTTCTCTCTAATGATACCCACCACGAGGGTAAAATTGCTTTTTGTTTTTTGTTGTGATTTTTGTTTTGTTGTTGGTGGGTGTGATGAGACAGCAAAGTGAGCCGCAAAGCCCTGATCCAGAGCCACCTGAGCGTACAAGGCAAAGTGTTCATTCATTTTGTAAGATTTTGACAGCTTCGGATACCAGCACTCATGGAGGCTTCTCTGTTCTTAGAAAACATGCCACTGAATGCCTTCCTCCCCTTGTAATCTCTCTTCCCTTCCTCCTTTTTCCCTTTTTCTAATTCTGGAGTTTGTATCTTTGAACAATTTTTGTTCATTTTCATATCGATGTTCAAAAAACATTAATATTTGTGAAAAAAAACTCTTAGGATATGAGCCAATCCACCCCAACCCAGGAGTTGGCTGCCAAGGATCTTCATGGGTATGAGTGGAAGTTTAAGCATATTTTCAGAGGTACTTCATTTGAACTATATTCTATCTTGGAACTCTTCTGTATTGGAAGTCAATTTGTTCTACTTCTGTGTGGTCACTGGGATTTCCTGCAATCTATACTTTCTGGAATCAGGTCAACCGCGGAGGCATTTGCTGACCACCGGGTGGAGTACGTTCGTTACGTCGAAACGGCTCGTTGCTGGGGATGCTTTTGTTTTCTTAAGGTGGTTCAGTTCATAAATGGGATGTGCAGCATATTTTGAAACTTCCTTTTGCACCTTTTTAACTTGTTTTTGAACATCTATTTGCATTTGTGTCTATGTCTTTCGTTAGGGGTGGCAATGGGGAACTGAGGGTAGGGGTTCGGCGACAGGCTCGGCAGCAGTGCGTGATGCCTTCCTCTGTCATATCTAGCCATAGTATGCATCTTGGAGTTCTTGCCACTGCTTCTCATGCTGTTCGTACGCAGACCTATTTCGTCGTCTATTATAAGCCAAGGTTCGTTTTTCGGGTATAAAATTCCGTGGCCTTTGGCTTATATGATTGAATCACACTCTAGTCTAACGAGTCTCATTTCCAGAACTAGCCAATTCATCATCAGCTTAAACAAATACTTGGAAACAGTTATAAATGGATTCTGTGTGGGGATGCGCTTTAAGATGAGATTTGAGGGAGAGGACTCCCCAGACAGAAGGTACTGTCTGATATATGATAAAGCCTTTTTTTCTATTTTTTCTTTTCAGTCATTGAATATTATTGTTTTTATGTTGCTTCTGTTATATTAGGTTCACTGGAACCATTGTTGGGGTTGGGGATATTTCTCCGCAATGGTCGGATTCTAAATGGCGATCGCTGAAGGTGAAGATAGTTATTTAGTTAGTTTGGTTTAGACTCTTTGAAGGCTTACTTGTGATGTGATTGATATACACAAACTTGAAACTTGTTCTGATGCTTGGCATTTACCAGATTCAATGGGATGAAGCTGCTACAATCCTTAGGCCAGAACGAGTTTCTCCATGGGAGATCGAACCCTTTGTACCTTCTGCCTCCTTGAACTTCACTCATCCCATCACGAAGAGTAAAAGGGCACGCCCCGTTGAGATTCCTCCTCCTGGTAATGGGAAAAGCTACTCAACTTGGTCATTTTGAAAATCAGTTTCTTCTATGTTGTGTTTATGTAAGATTTCCAATGTTTGTTGATCTGGGAGTGTAGAAATGACTTCCAGTTTGGCTCCTTCGGGCTTTTGGCTTCACGGATCGACAGTTCCTCAGGTAAGTGGCGGAAATGAAGTAGTCCAAAGCGGTGATAACCAGGCTGCGTGGGCTGTCGGGCAGCAAAAACTCAATAGCAATGTCGATACTAATAGCAGCAGCCACTGTAATTCATTGGCACTCGTAGAAGGCATCTGGCCTTCTCCTCCTCCACACCTTAATATTTCCCTGAAGCTCTGCCCAGATTCAACGTGTGAAAGAGAACTTGCTCCAAAACACCCTCTTCCCTCGCCTTATTCTCCCTCCGTTACTTCAAAGCCGAGCACCAACCTTATTCAGCACGATCAAGTCGAGAAAGCGAATAAACCCGACACGTCTCTCGGCTGCCGGATATTTGGAATTGATCTGAAAAACAACTCCAGCATCCTCTCATCATCTATGGAGACAAAACCATGTTCCCCAAATACGGTGTCTCAAGCTGATGCTGAACAAGTCTCACAGCCTTCAAAGGAGCAGCAGCAAGTCATGACATCGGAGCCATTGACGAAGGGAATGCAGACGAAGCACGCTTCCAATCTATCATCGAGAACTCGTACAAAGGTGCAAAATGGAAGCCTTTTGCAGGCTTAATTAAATTTCACCATATTTAACCGCAATGTTATCTTCTGATTTTGTGTTAGACTAAAATAGCAACATTGGCTTGTTGAGAAGGTACAAATGGAAGGAGCTGCGGTAGGTCGAGCTGTAGACTTAACGACGCTCGAAGGATACGATGACCTCATAAACGAGCTGGAGAACGTATTCGAAATAAAAGGCGAACTTCGGGAAGTCAACAAATGGGCAGTCGTTTTCACAGACGACGAAAATGACATGATGCTCGTGGGGGACGATCCGTGGCCGGAGTTCTGCAAGATGGTGAAGAGGATCTTCATATATTCAAGTGAAGAGGTGAAGAAGATGAGTAGTAAAAGCAAGCTTGTTTCTCCATCATCCTTAGACCACCAAATCACTAATAGTTTGGATTCAGAGCGCAAGACTGAATCCTGATATCATTATTACTACTATTATTACTATTATTATTTTGCTGTTTCAATTTTCTCTGATTTTTTTTTGGATAAATCCGTTTCCCTCCTTCCAATGGAGTGCTAGCTAGTAGCAGTAGTGTTTCAGGCAAGTGATTTTGCTTAGTTCTTCTTCTTCTTCTTTTTTTTAGGGGGTTGCTTTGTATGGCATTATTGTTTTCTTTTTGAGTTTTGGTAAATGTATATATTTTAGTCCCCTANATGCCAAACAAAACTTGTGTGATGAAATTTTGGAAGTACCTGTTCTGGTGGGGAGAGTGCATAACGTGCTTTCTTCTGCACCTTAACAGTCACGCATTTTAATTGGTAAATTCACCTACGTTTCCTTTTGTATAAATTTCTGAATTTTCGATTAATTCCTTTCACTGTTTGATATTGGATTTATTTAATTAAATAAAAAATTTATTTGTCCAATTACTAATTTAATCCCTCTAGCTTGGACTTGACTTGAGTAGGAGTTTTAATTAATTTAATTTTTAAAGTTTCAATTTAGTCATCGTAATTTGAAATCCAGTTTATATTTGTCGTTCTTAAATCTATTTTTCTATGTTTTTTTGTTAAAAAATTATTGGAATCAGACAATTTGAGCATGGTTCAACCTAATAAAGGTATGATACGTCTATCTTAAATACCAAGTGTTAAAATCTCCATTCTCATAAATAAATAACTATTAAGCTTAACTTTGATTATAACTCATAACTTTTTGGTGGGACATAAGTGCAAACTATGCTCAGGTTGGCATAAAAGAAAAGAAAAAAAACCAGTTTATTATCACGTAAATAAAAAGGATTAGATATATTCAAAATTTAGTGTTGTAGAACTCATTAATTAAAACATTTTCAATTTTTCATCAAGTATGATATCACATAGTGACAAGTGTTTCTAAAAACTTCTTAAAATTTTCTGATGTATACTTGTATATATATATATATGTATATATGTATAGATATATATGTATATATATATATGTGTGTATATTTTCTACATGAATGAGTTCATATTTTAGAAAAACTAAGATTGCTATAGAGAGAATGTTTTGAAGTTGCCTTGTTGTGGAAGAGGAGGGCAAAAGTGGAATGGATTTGTTGTGGCAAAAAAAGGTATGAAATAATAAAACTTGGGTTGTTTGGTGTTGGCCTAAAGATATGGAGGCAGGAAGTAGCTTTCATTAAGATTGCTTCTCCCCCTAAAGTTACTCCCAACTATCAACTAGAAAATCTATTGGACAAACACATAGAAGATATGGACTCTTTTTCATTACTAAATTCAATCTTCAAACTCTTAACTCTGATTTTGTTAATAATATTTTGTTGATTTTAACAATTCAACTCTTTGGAGTTACCTTTTTTTTATATACCAACAATTTTATTTATGATTATTTTTTTCATGCTTGGACTTGAATTTACTTTTAGGAAAAATTTCAATATATTAGTTAATTTTTCGACTATTAGAACAAGTACATTATCTATACTATATTAAAAAAAGGAGGTTAGAAAAATAGTTTTGGACTATTTTATTTATTATTCTTCGATTTCTAAATTACAAGGCATGCCATTATTCATTAATTATCAATAATCAATCAATTAATTGAATCTTAAATTGTTATATCTCTTTAATTAGTTAACAATTTATTAATAATTAGAAATTATTATGATAAATTTAAAATATTATTTTCTAACAAAGTGAGATTCTAAAGGTAGTTTTTACATTTATTATTTACTAGTTTAAATTGTGGACAAAATTAAAATATTATTATATGATAAAATAAAATATCTTTGAAGTGTTATTTTCCAAAAATAATTTAAAAATAGGAAATGCAAATTATATAGATCAAAATTAACCAAATACATTTTTAAAAATTAAAACATGAGAATATCTTTGTTTTATAAATTAAGATATTAAAATTTAGTTTAATAAATTTCCTAATATTTAAGATAAATAAATTATGAATATTGAAAACTTTATTTGGGAGAACAAAATTTAAATGTACTATAAAGTGGTATAAATAAAAGAAATATTGTTATGAAATTGAAGAACAAAACGAGACACTACGAGTACATAGGCAACAGGAGAAATACTAAAATACAAAGTATAAAAATAAAAACCAAAAATATAAAATGCTCAAGATTTTAAAATGAAGTTTCCCACCAAATTGTTCAATTTCATACTCAATTATGAACCACTGATTGCCTCTTATTTATAGGCAAATGTACAAGTATGATGTGTATGAATTGGACACTAAGGATAATTAACAACAACACACGTGGAGTTATTGAGAAAAACCCACGTAGAGGAAGGGCTTGAAGACACATTTAATATTTTGACACTAAGCTTTAGGTTAATGGGCATCTATAATAGTTTAACTAAATTTATAAAACTCCCCCTTAGATGCCCATTGTATATATGAAATATGTCTCATTAAAACCTTACTAGGAAAAAACCCAGTGGGAAAAAAATCATAGTGAAGGAAAAAGAGTATATATTTCATATAATCTAATAAACCAAAAAGAATACAATATATCTTGCTCCCCCTCATGGAAACATCATTTAAGATCTATGAGTCGTCGTATTCCAATGTCACACACCAATTTTTCAAAGGTTGTTGTAGGTAATGCCTTTGTGAATAAATTTGTCAAGTTATGATCCGAACAAATTTGTTGTACAATGATGTTGCCACTTTCTTCAAGATCATGAGTGTAGAAAAGCTTTGGTGAAATATGTTTTGTTCTATCTCCTTTAATATGTCCCCATTTGATTTGAGCTATACATGCTGTGTTATCTTCATATAATATTGTTGGGAGATTTTTACTAGAAGACAAGTCACATGTCTCACAAATGTGCTGAGTCATTGATCTTAACCAAACACATTCTCGACTAGCCTCATGTATTGCAAGAATTTCAGCATGATTTGAGGAGGTGGATGTTATGATCTGTTTCACTGATCGCCATAATATAGCAGTTCCTCCACATGCGAACAAATAATCTGTTTGAGATCTAGCTTTGTGTGGATCAGATAAATATTCAGTATCTACATAATCAACTAGATCAAAATTTGATTTGTTTGAATAAAATAAGCCCATATCAATCGTTCCTCGAAGATAACGGAGTATACGCTTAACTCTATTCCATTGTCTTTTTGTAGGAGAAACACTATATCTTGCTAATAAATTAACTGAAAATGCTATACCTGGTCTTGTATTATTAGCAAGATACATTAGTGCACCAATTGCACTAAGATATGACACTTCATGACCAAGAAGTTCTTCATTATCTTCTCGAGGTCGAAATATATCCTTCTTCACATCAAGTGAACGAACTTCCATTGGAATGTTCAATGGATGTGCTTTGTCCATATAAAATCTTTTTAAAACTTTTTCTATATAAGTTGATTGATGAACAAATATCTCATCTGCTAAATGTTCAATTTGCAAGCCAAAACAAAATTTTCTTTTGTTTCCCGAGATCTTTCACCTCAAATTCTTTTTTAAGATATTCAATAGTCTTCGAAAGCTCTTCAGGAGTTCCAATTATATTCAAGTCATCAACACATATAGTTATAATGGCGAATCCGAACTTTGATTTATTTATAAAAACACAAGGACAAATTGGATTATTTCGATATCCTTTTTTTTACAAATATCCACTCAGGCGATTATACCATATTCGTCCTGATTGTTTTAATCCATATAATGATCGTATCTCTGTAACTTTATTGAATACAAGTCCCGAGAACTTGGATTATATGTTTCGGGTATCTTCAATCCTTCAGGGATTTTCATATAAATATCATTATGAAGATATCCATATAAATATGTTGTGACTACATCCATAAAATGCATGTCAAGACTTTCAAACACAGTAAGACCAATTAAATATCTCAATGTAATCGCATCTACCACCGGAGAATATGTCTCCTCATAATCAATACCAGGTCTTTGCGAAAAACCTTGTGCAACAAGTCTTGCTTTATATTTTGTGACCTCATTGTTTTCATTTCTTTTTCTTAAAAATACCCAATTTGTATCCCACAGGCTTAACGCCTTCTGGTGTTCGGACTACTGGTCCAAAGACTTGACGTTTTGAAAGTGAGTTTAATTTTGTCTGGATTGCTTCTTTCCATTTAAGCCAATCTTTTCTTTGTTGACATTCTTTCATAGATTTTGGTTTAGAATCCTCACTCTCAGATAAAATGTCAATAACAACATTATAAGTAAAAATGTTATCAATAACTACATTACTTCGGTTCCATCTTTTTCCCGTCATGACATAGTTTATTGAGATCTCATTATTATCCTCTGGCACTTGATCTTTCTCAGTATCTTTTTGAGTAGTCATATTTAGGATTTCTTCTAGAATATTCACATTCTCAATTGAGTCATTTCGTTGACTAGTTTTCTTTTCCGAGGATTTTTATCTTTGGAACCCATTGGTCTACCACGCTTCTGGCGTGTCGTAGACTCATTAGTTATGACAACTTGCTGCACTGGGATATCAATTTTCGATGGAGCATTTATAGCTGGTATATATGACTTGGACACTTTCTTAGTATCTATAAATGCATCTGATAATTGATTTGCTATATTTTGCAAATGAATTATTTTCTGAACTTCATGTTCACATTGATTTGTACGAGGATCTAAATGAAACAATAACGATGCATTCCATGTAATTTCTTTTTCCAACTTCTTAATTTCTCCCCCTAATATTGGAAAATTTGTCTAATTAAAATGACAATCAGCAAATCGTGTAGTAAATACATCACCCGTCAAGGGTTCAAAATATTTAATGATTGATGGGGAATAAAATCCAACATATATTCCTAGCCTCCTTTGAGGACCCATTTTAGTACGTTTGGGTGGAGCAATTGGAACATATACTGCATAGCCAAAAATTCTCAGATGGGAAATGTTTGGCTCTTGGCCATAAGCTAATTGTAATGGGGAATACTTATGATATGTTGTTGACCTAATGCATGCAAGTGACGTTGCATACATAATAGCATGACCCTATA